AACCCGTCTGCTCATCAAATGGCACAACATACGACAATGAGTGTTTGTTTCGACAGGAAATGTGTCTTCTACGATTGAACTTTTCCGTTCAACACCCTGGTAGTTGTGAAGGTTAGACTGATATAATATTTTCCTTTGCTTAAAAATGAATAGTCTGACGACGTCGATGATGAAAACGATAATGATAATGATGTCATTGACTCGTGGACAACGGAGTAAATCAAATCGTTTCTTCTGATTTGAACATTTTCTCTTATTACCTATTTTAAGGATTTCCTTTCCAGCGAGGTCGCCGCCACATGCCACATATTCCTTCACTGGGATATTCTCATTGTGACGTAGTTCGCCTCAAGCCTTATGTGTTTTATCCTGACAAAGCACTGGAAGTTCAGATCACTGTCAATCACATTGACACCAGTGACAAGTCATATGTACATGATGCCGCTGTGTCGTGGATTGAAAATGTCAGTTACGATCGATTCACTGCGTGTGTGATGGCGGCTGGCTACAATGAGCGAGAATCTCATGCTAACGTGACAGTTGATTGGATGGCGTACCAAGGGGCTCCAGTGGGTGGTGTTGCCGGGGAAGTACGAATATCACAATGGTGGACTGGAACGACTTGTAAATCTGTCAATTTTCCATCGGTTAGTCTTTTCTGTTTTAATTAACTTGAATTGCTCTTAGTTCACCTTTGCCTAAGATATGAATGGACCACTGAAGAATACTTTCGTTAAAGTATTCTAGGCTTTAGACAACCGTTGTTACCTAAAAACAATTGAAACAAAGCAAACGGAAAAAAAGACAATCTTACACAAACTGAAACCAAAATATCAACCAGTTTTACGCCAACAACAGCATCGGCAACAACAACAACATTGGCAGCGAGAAAACAGACGCAGCAAAAGCAGCATAAAAAAAAAACAAACAAAAAACAAAAAAACAATACAACATCAACGGTGAAACCAAGAAGAACAAGAAGAACAAGAAGAAAACAAAAACAACCACAACAACAACAACAACTACAACTAGATCAAGACAAGCTAAACAACGTAATTAATAACGACAGCAACAAAACAACAACAAGAACAGCAGCAAAGCCGCAAAAGCACCTTCACCAACAACAACAAGAACAGCAACAGCACTTAAGCACGATACAAACAATAACATCAAAAGCAACATTATCGTGCAGACAGACTAGCTAAGAGTCTTAGTTTCTCTTGTTTCCAGAAATTAGGTTGCTAAGCCACTTATACTGGTGCTATCTTTAACTTTTTTTTCTTTGTTTGTTTGTTTGTTTGTTTGTTTGTTTGTTTTAATCTTTTTTTTTGTTGTTGTTGTTGTTTTCCATGCAGGGGAAGTTTACAGTGATACCCTCAGTATTTGTAACTCCTGCGCATCATCATGCCGGACTAAAGCGTGACGCTGCCAGTGTGTGGATTGAAGACGTCAGGCAATCTTCATTCAAAGTTTGTTTGAGAGAGCTGCAAAACTACGCAGGATCGCACGAAGACGTTCATGTTGTAAGTGTCACAGCTACTGTGAAACGAGACCTTTATAGAACTGAGTGTCACTTAGACAGTTTTCACATGAATAGAGACAGTTGGGGCTGCTTGAGTAGTAATCTGACGTGATAGGTTTAACTTTATAGTACCTTTTGTCATCAAAATGAAACATAACAAAGATAACTCTGATTGCAATGAAGCTATTTGCCTATTCTTTTATGACTTTTGTTTAAAAAAAATTTAAACCCCTTTTTCTTTTATCTTTCTAGAAATGGTTGGCGTTTTCGTCTCTTCATAAGCCTCTCTTCACAGAGTACAGTTCAGTCTATTTCCCTAACGCCCAGCATCCTCCTGCAGATTACAACAATGCTTTCTGCAAGGTCAGTTGCCAAGTCTTCTCAATGCAGAGAAACGTTTGCATTTTGTGGATTAAATTTG